ACGCCCCCTTTTTTTTTGAGACGTTTTGCTGAGATGAACTTGTTTCTACGGTCTGGTTGTTATTGTAAGTAATTTTTTTTTCTCGCTGAAGTTGTGTTTAATTTTCAAGTTCGTGATGGATTCTGTTCTAGTCGGGTTTTCGTAAAGGAGGCCGCCCTGCTCATAGCAGGGCTCCTTTATCAGTATATAGCCTCTTTCAGGTTTGATTGTCGCATTTAAGCATTCGCGTTCTTTCTGTATTATTATTGGTATTACTATTTGCTCTTTTTGTCTCTCTTCTGGTGCTTCGCATCTCTTTTTTTTTTTACTATCTGAAGTTTGTGATGAAGTACGTAAAACTGGACACCAGCAAGTCTCGGGGAGAATGCGCTGATCTTCAAGAGCCCACGAACAAAGAACTGCTTTGGGAGATTCTGCGCATAGGTTTTCCGTTGTCAGCTTCTCAGCTCTCTCAGTTTGGTCTTATGGTTGTCATGTTTTTTTTTGCGGGTCATCTAGGTGTGGAAGAACTAGGGAGTGTTTCCATCGCTCTCGGCATTTTCAATGCGACAGGATTTGCTTTTGGCAGTGGACTCTGTGGAGCCCTGGAGACACTTTTGTCGCATTCCTATGGACAAGATCCCCGAAGTACCACGTATGGGGTTTACGCCCAAAGGATGTTTCTCATACTTATGTTATTTGCAATTCCCCTGGCTGTTTTGCTAGGTTGTTTGACGCCAATCTTGGTAGCCATTGGTGAACCTGCTCATGTGGTGGTGGAGGTGAGTTCATTTTGTGTAATTTGTATTTTTGGATTGCCGCCAATTATGCTGTTGGAGCTGCTCCGACGTTATTATGCGTGTCAGCAGCGCTCGAACCCGGTTTTTGTGACACTAGCTATGGCTGCAATTATAAATCCCATCATACAGTACGTGTTTGTCTCTTTTTGTGGATACAAAGGAATTGCACTGGGCTGGGTGATTCTTATTGTGGTTATGGATATCGCTCTACTCGTCTACCTTAGACTGAGCGGCCTATATCGTCATACATGGGGTGGCTGGAGCAAGGCGGCGTTTAAAAATTGGATCCCCATCTTGAAGCTGGCTATTCCCTCTCTTGGGATGACCTTTAGTGAGTGGAGTGCCATGGAAGTAAATTCTGTCTGTGCAGGTTTTATGAGTCCTGTGCACTTGGGGGCATATGCCATTAGTGGTCAGATTGCGAACCTCTGTTGGAGCGCGGTGTCTGGTTTTTTTATGGCCAGCACCGTCTTGGTAGGAAATTGTGTTGGTGAAAGGCGCCCAGAATTGGGAAAACGGTACGCAATTATGTCATTCCTCGTTGTCTCGGTCTGTGTCTGTGTGAACACCACTACAGTGTACATGTACCGAAAGGAAATTGCTTATATATTCACTGAAGACACTGAGGCGGTGTCTGTATTTGTGGATATTACTCCTTTTTTCTTAGTGTATCACGTGTTGGATTCTATACAGTGCAACTTTTTGGGTATTTTGCGTGGATGTGGGCTTCAGATCGCTGGTGTGGTCATTGCCTTTGTGAGCCTGACGATTGTTGGAATGCCGCTGGGTCTCTTCCTTTTTTTTCGCTGTGGCTACGCCATCCAGGCGTTGTGGATTGGCCCTATTGTAGGTTGTGCGTCCCTGGGGCTTCCTGCGTGCCTGTTTGTGTTCTTCTACCGCATCAATTGGAAGAGGCTTCAGCCCCATGTTGAGGCGCCATCCGCCCTTACCAACGAAGTGTTGGTCAGTGTCGTCAGCTGTAAGACAGTACCGTGATGTACAAGTAGTTTTTTTTTTTTTCCAACTCGCATAACACAGCATGGAAAACTACTAATGAGTGGAAGAAGAAAGACGAGACGAAAAAAGAAAAAAAAACAGTATTACTAATAAACAATTCTCTTCACCTAGATCTTTTTATTTTCGTTTTTTTTTTGTTGAGTGCATTTCTTAGTGATGAACTACTTTACCTTCAATCAATTACCGTAGAGGTTGCGCAGAGGGTAGCTTTTGAAAGCCCACCCGACCTGACCCGACCATTTCCGTGCCGTACGGGAGGGGTGGGGGGCGCATACCGTCTTCACCTCAATTTTGTTAGTGTTTTGGTGAGTGTAAGTCATGTGCATGTGCGGTGAAACTGTCATTGGTTGCTGGAATGAGCTTGCTAAATTCCTTGTGGAGACTGTGAGACATAAAAAAGTATTCATTATACGTTTTCTTTCTCTGGTGTTTTATTGGGGGGAAAGCAAGGCTTAGGCTAGCCGCGTCACTCTTATTTTATTTTTTAGTTTGTCTCAAAGTTT